CCTACCCAAGTAGCTGGGACTACAGGCGGACAAGGCAGGCATGCGCCTCAAGCCTGGAGCTAATTTTCCTTGTGAGGTTGTGTGAGCTAGGCTGAGCCCGGCACTCACTCTGCCTGGGCAACAAAGTGAGACTCTGTCTCAAAAAAAAAGAATTCTGCTGGGGCTTATTTTATGGGTAGGTCTTATTTTCGGGAAACATGGTACATGTTGTAGTTTGCAGGTGACTTAGTTTCATGCTTGGTATAGTTATTATTATAACTTAAGTATTTTTCTCTGTATTTCTTACCATTATTTTTAAAAATTGTTTTTTCACAATAACAAAAATATATATACTAAGGGAAAAGCGTTGTTTATAATCCTCCCACTACTACCTACTAACCCCATACTCTTTTTTTTTTTTTTTTCAGACTCAGCCTAGCTCACAGCAACCTCAAACTCCTGGGCTCAAGCAATCCTTCTGCCTCAGCCTCCCAAGTAGCTGGGACTACAGGCATGCGCCATCAAGCCTGGCTAATTTTTTTTCCTTGTATATATGTTTTTAGTTGGTCAATTAATTTCTTTCTATTTTTAGTAGAGGGGGGGTCTCGCTCAGGCTGGTTGCGAACTCCTGACCTCGAGCAATCCGCTCGCCTTGGCCTCCCAGAGTGCTAGGATTACAGGCGTGAGCCACCATGCCCAGCCCCCTAGCAGGATTTCTAAGCATTTGTGCAATATAAGCCCTACCCCGAAAATAAGACCTAGTTATAGACGTGGCTATATTTGAATAAATGTAGATTGTTGTACCATACTTAAAAAAAAATAACACATCCCCTGAAAATAACCCCTAGGATGTCTTCCTGAGGAAAAATATATAAGGCCTTGTTTTATTTTCGGGGAAAAACGGTAATAATACTCACTAGAAAGCTAAAGTATAACACAGAAAGTATAACTGCTATGTTAAAATTGACAGGGTTATGGTTGATTTAAACATTTTTCAATAATGTACCTTTTGTAATTAAAAAAAAAAGTGGGAAGCTTTCCTGGAGAAGTTTTCAGTTTTGCTAAAATGAACTTCAACAGAAATTATGCATAAGATTTATTTCACTGTAACATTTAAAGTTAAATTCATATTATCCTACCTGATAGTGATAGTAAGAAATAAATTACATGCGGTTGAACTTAAACCGTACCTTCGCCAGCAGAGTTTTCCCACAGCCAGGAGGACCAGCAAGCAGAACTCCAGCTGGAGTCACCAATCCAAGAGCTTTGAACTGATCCGGGTTACGTACCGGTGCCTGGAAAGAATACCAATATCGATCACTACAAATTACCGCATGTTCAAATTATCTCCAGACACATGTTTTCAACACTGATTGTGAGGCCTAAAGATATGATCAGTGCCTGGCTTACTTGCATATATTCTGTTCTAGGCATGAGGTATATGGTCATATACAAATAGAAAAGTCTTTACCGTTGAGGAATTTACACTTAAATGTAAGGTCAGAGAACATTTTTTACATAAAGATAGAATATTTCAACATTTTAAAATCAAGATCTTTTTAGAAAACCATCAAAATTTCTAGGTCTCCTCTAAGAAATCAGAAGTGGTAATACCCTTCACATAGCCAAAAGCCAGAGATACTTGTTCACTGTTCACTGTAATCCCATGTAGTCTCTTTCAGTAGTACATACCTCTAAATGGATCAAACTTTAATGAATGAATTATGGAATGATTAGTAAAATAGAAAAATAAAGTAAATAAAAATTAATTCAAAGTTTCATGGGTGTTAAAGCTGCCTTGCCCTTAGAGTATGATTGAGTTCAGAAAATGGTTCTCAAACAATTTGGTCTTGGCTAAAACCTTAACTTTTTAAAAAACTCACTGCTATAGAAATCAAGCACATTCTACACCAATTCATCTGGAAAAGAAAGAAAAATAAAATTAAAATGTAAAAGAAAATTAAAATTTAAAAATATTAAAAAATAAAAAAAAAAAAAAGAAAAAAAAAAAAAAAGAAATCAAGCACAACCAAAAGAATCAGTATAAAAGAGATATCCATAGAATTATTCAGCCATGGCCAGCCATGGTGGCTCACGCCTATAATCCTAGCACTCTGGGAGGCCGAGGAGGGCGGATTGTTTGAGCTCAGGAGTTCAAAACCAGACCGAGCAATAGCGAGACCCCGTCACTACTAAAAATAGAAAGAAATTAGCTGGACAACTAAAAATATAGAGAAAAAAATTAGCTGGGCATGGTGGCGCATGCCTGTAGTCCCAACTACTCGGGAGGCTGAGGTAGTAAAATTGCTTGAGCCCAGGAGTTTGAGGTTGCTGTGAGCTAGGCTGATGGCAGGGCACTCAATCTAGCCTGGGCAGAGTGAGACTCTGTCTCAAAAATAAAAAAAGGAATTATTCAGCCACAAAAACGAATGAAATCCTGTCATTTGCAGCAATATGGATAGAACTGGAGGTCATTATGTTAAATGAAATAAACCAGGCACAGAAAGACAAATGCTACATGTTCTCATTCATATGTGGGAGCTAAAAAAGTAGATTTCATGGAGGTAAAGAGTAGAGTGGTGGTTATGGAGTCTGGGAAGTAAAAGGAGAGGATGAAGAGAAGTGGGTTAATAGGTACAAAAATACAGTTATATAGAAGAAATAAGTTCTAGTATTTGACATCACAGTAGGGAAATTATAGTAACAATAATTTACTTTACATTTTTTTTTTTTTTTAACTTTTTTTTTTTTTTTTTTTTTTTTTTTTTTGAGACAGAGTCTCGCTTTGTGCCAGGCTAGAGTGAGTGCGTGCGTCAGCCTAGCTCACAGCAACCTCAAACTCCTGGGCTCGAGTGATCCTTCTGCCTCAGCCTCCCGGGTAGCTGGGACTACAGGCATGCGCCACCATGCCCGGCTAATTTTTTTTTTTTATATATATATATCAGTTGGCCAATTAATTTCTTTCTATTTATAGTAGAGACGGGGTCTCGCTCTTGCTCAGGCTGGTTTTGAACTCCTGACCTTGAGCAATCCGCCCGCCTCGGCCTCCCAAGAGCTAGGATTACAGGCGTGAGCCACAGCGCCCGGCCAATTTACTTTACATTTTAAAATAACTAATAAATTGTTATGCTCCCAACACAAAAGAAAGATAAATATTTGAGGTGGTGGACATTCCAATTACCCTGACTTGATCATTACATGTTATATACATATAGTAAAATATCACATGTACCCCCCAAAATATGTACTGCTATGATATATCAATTTTTTAAATAAATAAATAAAACAGATTTCAAAAGAATAAATAACCATTGTTGGTGGCTTAGCATTTACAAGAAAACATATAGTCAGGTCAGTTTAGACATACAACCTGGTACACATGCAAGTGTGTACACATGCAAGCTTTATCTCTGGTCTTTCATCTATCACATATGCCAATGATATTCCACAGCTGATAAACCTACCAATATTGCCATGGTGAGCTCCTCTCTAATATCTTCCAGGGCACCAATATCTGCCCATGTCACATTAGGGACAGTGACAAAGCCTTCCCTTTTGGCAGAGGGTTGGACTGAGGATAGAGCAACAATGAAATCATTCAATTCAATGCATAGTCCTTGCATCTGCTCCTCTGAGAGGGGATCTTGGTCTCTTAGCAACACTAGTAGACTTTGCAATTCATCCTTAAAGGGAATAATTGAGGGGGATAAAAAAATAACATTATTGAAAAGTTACATTTTCTACTTTAAAAAATTATTATTATGATATTTCTGTAAGCTATAGTGAACTTCTATGTATTTTAATAATTTTCTCTTTCTTTGACATGAGACTTATGTTCATTTTATTCTAAATGGATCAAATGCTTTCGTCAAGTAAAAGTATACAACCATAATCAAATATTAATATAGGGGGGAGGAAGGGATGGATATATACAAACATAATGAGTGAGATGTGCAACGTTCGGGTGATGGTCACTCATGAAGCTCTGACTCAAGGTGGGAGCATGGGCAACATATGTAACCTTAACATTTGTACCCCCATATGGTGAAATAAAAAAAAAATGCTGCCAAAAAAAAAGTGATTACAAACAAAACACTGAAATACATGTATTTTGTGTTAAGCTACTTTTTACTAAAATGCAATTCAAAAAATTGGATTTAGTTGCTCCATTAAACCCAAGGTATTTTAGGTATGTGTTCTAGTACTTTCGAGGAGTCCTTGAGACCAATTACTTTGACACTTTATGATACTCTTTCAAATGAAAGGCAGTAGAAGGGCAACTGGGCTAAGCCAAGGGTCTCAGCAGTCAGACCAGGATTCCAAGTTAGCCCCTGTCTGGAAGAGCCAGGTAACCTGATTCATCCAAACCACCTCCACAAATGATTAAGGATCAACTCTCAAGTGCCAGGCTTTCCCAGTGGGAACAAACCACCTGAAACCCTTGACTTCATGAGGCTAGTCTAGAGAACCTCATGCAAATTCCCTAATCACTGTAAAACCCTGTTTACTTATCTATTAAATGAGATAATAATGACTTATATTGTATTCACTGTGCCCTTACTATGTGCTAGGCATTGTTAATATTCACAACTCTAAATGGTAGGTCTACAATTGTCATAATTTGCAGTATGGTTTAAATAAATTACTCATAAAGTACTTTGTAAACTGCCATACACACAGAAAGAATTAAAAGTTAGCTACTGTTGGCCAGGTGCGGTGGCTCATGCCTGTGATCCTAGCACTCTGGGAGGCCGAGGCGGGTGGATCACTTGAGGTCAGGAGTTCAAAACCAGCCTGAGCAAGAGTGAGACCCCATCTCTACTATAAATAGAAAGAAATTAATTGGCCAACTAATATATATAGAAAAATTAGGTGGGCATGGTGGCGCATGCCTGTAGTCCCAGCTACTCGGGAGGCTGAGGCAGGAGGATTGCTTGAGCCCAGGAGTTTGAGGTTGCTGTGAGCTAGGCTGACGCCATGGCACTCACTCTAGCCTGGGCAACAAAGCGAGAGTCTGTGTCAAAAAATAAATAAATAAATAAATAAATAAAAACAACACAAAACCCAAATGATCTGAAAACAAAAGACCTGGATTTAAGTTTCTGTTCTATAAAGTAGAAGCTGTGTGGCCTTGGGTAAGTCACAACCTCTTAAGCTTAGTGTCTCTGATAATAAAATGGGGAAAATAATGATATTTTACTTCATAAGGTTATATGGATCAAATTATATAATATAGAGAAGCCACCTGTGCAAATTATAAAGTGCTACATACATGTTATATTGAGTTTTCATAAGTCACAAAACTCAAAAACTTAAAACTGATTTTGGACTAAGGAATGATCCTCTCATATTCACCCAACTCTCTTTCAGTGCTGTTTGCAGCTAAGGACAAGGACATTGGCAAACCTTCCCTGTGAAGGATAAGATAGTAAACACTGCAGGCTTTGTGGGCCATATGCTCTCTGCTGCAAAGACTCCTGTGTGAATTCTGCTGTGAAGCGCGAAAGTAAAAACAGAGCCTGTTTATAGGCTCATTGTAAACAAATGAGCACGACAGTGTTCCAACATAAATTTAATTTACAAAAGCAAGTGGTAGGCAGGTGGGCCAAGGTATGCCAACCCCACTCTAGAATTATATAATCATTATTGTAATGTGAATTTAATTAGAATAAACTAAAAAATAAAACTAATATCTTTAAAATTATAGGCATCTTGGGTGTAACCAATAATTATTCTATAGAAAAAATGCCAATAAAACAGGAAATCATAAACCTCAACTAAACTGACTTTTGCTTGAGTGTAAGATAACATAAAGAACATTAAAAGGACAGTTTAGGTTGCCTTTAAAGAAAGCACCTGTGTTTTAGAAGTGGGCTCAGTTCTTGGCCTTTCCTCCTGGGGTCCTTCAGGTGGCAAACCTTCAATCTCAAGTTCATTCTTCTGCTTCTCCTGTAGCTTCATTAAGACTCTATTGACAGCACACATGGCTGCTTCTCGGCAGAGTGCCATCAAATCAGCACCAACAAAGCCTGGGGTTAGGTGTGCTAAGTGACAAAAATTAAAAGCCTCAGGAAGTCTCAGTTTTCTGCACAAAGTTTGAAGTATTCTGTAGAAAAGATGGGGTAAAATGTAATAGTATAAACAAGTCACCAAATATATTTATTTGAAGTCCTTCATCACTGTCAATGGTGTCATAATGGATAGTATATAAGATCAAATAGTTCATTCAGTCAACAAGTGCTCAATCACTACATGTCCTACCTTATTACATGTCCTACCTTATTCCACAAAGGATTATGGTAAGTATCTGCTTTGTTAGGTAGGAACTATGGCAAATGCTGTGAGGAATACCTAGATTTAAAAAAAATATGCTGCCTAAAGAATTTTACAATATTGTATGGGAAATAAGATAACTTATGGGGGTACTTTTAAAGTAGATTAAATGGACATCTACCCAAAATAAATGCCTCCATACTCAAATAACCCATTAACTCTATTCATCACTAAAAGCTATCTCAATATCTACTTTTTTTTTTTTTTAATTTATTTTTTTGAGACAGAGTCTCACTTTTGTTGCCCAGGCTAGAGTGAGTGCCGTGGCATCAGCCTGGCTCACAGCAACCTCAAACTCCTGGGCTCAAGCGATCCTCCTGCCTCAGCCTCCCGAGTAGCTGGGACTACAGGCACGCGCCACCATGCCTGGCTAATTGTTTTTTTGTATATATACTTTTAGTTGGTCAATTAATTTCTTTCTATTTTTAGTAGAGACGGGGTCTCGCTCAGGCTGGTTTCGAACTCCTGACCTTGAGCAATCCGCCCGCCTCGGCCTCCCAGAGTGCTAGGATTACAGGCGTGAGCCACTGCGCCCGGCCTCAATATCTACTTTAACATCCAATTTTATATTAGGACAGTTACTTCTCTAGCTTTATCATTACCTTCTGTTTACCTCTTGTATTGCATGCATGAAAAATTTTATTCAACCCAATGGTGACATGGTATGTGTCAATGAAATGTGGACTCCTAGATTATTATTATTATTAAAGGAATACCTTGAACAATTTCTGGTAAGATGTATCAAATAAAAATTTAAAAGCAGTACAGGCCGGGCATGGTGGCTCATGCCTGTAATCCTAGCTCTGTGGGAGGCCGAGGCGGGCGGATCATTTGAGGTCAGGAGTTCGAGACCAGCCTGAGCAAGAGCAAGACCCCATCTCTACTATAAATAGAAAGAAATTAATTGGCCAACTAATACATATAGAAAAAATTAGCCGGGCATGGTGGCACATGCCTGTAGTCCCAGCTACTCAGGAGGCTGAGGCAGGAGGATCGCTTGAGCCCAGGA